TCCTCCTCCTGTCTGCCTCTGACACACACTTTGTGCCATCTCATAAGCCTCTTTTTTTTAACACTTTTCTGCACATTTCCTTCAGGTCACTGATGCATAGAGGGAATAAACTTCATTGTAAGATTATTTCCTGGGGCTCCYCAAGCATGACATTTCAAAACAACTCCAATTTATAAAAGGTTTTGCCATGTAACATTCATAAAAGCCCTATATACTTATCTTCTTCTTTAAAAAATATATATAWAATACGTATGCAGATAAATTATATATATTAAGTATTCATATAAATATATATTTTTTTTAAGACAGGAAATAAATTCAAGACAAAGTCAGAGACTACTCACAGTCTTTTTTTCCCCTTTTAAACAGCAATTTGAGGACTAATCACCAGGAGATACATACCAGAGTAAGCACATAGGTATTTTTACTTTAGGCAAACAATCCACTGCTACATAGGACTTGACAGTCGTCTCTATTAACTCCATGGCTGTCGGAGCCAAATCTTATCACGCATTGAAAAGGATGCTAGGATTAATTATGTAGCTCCAATCTGGCCCTTTTATTAGTATCAGGGATGTTCATTCCCCAAGTTGTACATGACAGTCACTTAAAACTCCATCTGGCTTTTTTGATTTACACCAGGAACTTCCGTGCTAAGAGTTCATGAATGTATTAACAGTACTGAGAGGGTTTTTTTTTTTTTCCTCTCTCTTAAAGAAAAAAAGTTTGCAACCAACAGCTTAAGTATGAACAAACCTGCAAATGCCTGTTAGCACTTGGAAATTTAGGAAGTAAGAAAGAAAGATCCTGTGCTTCTTTACCCAAGGTTTGTTTGAAAAATTTAGAGTAAAATAAACGCCAAAGAGCCTTTGCTTTACTCTGTCTGCTGCTGACCTTTAGACCTGACACCCACTGCATCCTGTGGGAAACTTTTTCCAAGAGCCAGCTTTCTTATAAATATTTTAGCAGATTTAAGCATCCAGACTGCATTTTATTTGCCCTCAACTACTAAAAACACTATTGGCTCCTGAAAACATATATGTGGACTTTTATATTCACCTAAGTATCTGTAATGTAATAAAAAATAATTAGCAGAACCTTGAAGGTGCTTTTGAAGTCTGGGGTTTTTGTGGGGGGGAGTTTGCTTGGGTTTTTTTTTTTTTCCATGTTTAATCTCACAGCTGCTACAAGTCTCTAAAATGCACACAACTTCACTGCTGCCTATTCTCCTGTACATGGTTTAAAAATAGATTTGCATATTCTCCATAAATAACAAAAGCGCAAGGAAAAGTCCATGTATTCCTACCTTTGGTCAATAGAAGTAATAGTGATAATTTAATTTCCTTGTCAAAATAAAAATTCAAGTTTCTCTTAGATGTTTTACCAATAAATGCCATTAAACTTTGCAAGAACAGCTCATTTAAAAGAATCTGTTTAGCTTTTCAGTGTCTAAATTCTGCACCTGTTCCTTTTCAGATAACCAGTCTCCTTGTAAAGTCTTGCATTGCTCTTGTTTCTCCACTACAATGAGAAACTGTTTTGTACAGTATGGAACAGGTCACTTGTGGAAAGTCACAGGAAGATTCTGGTTACTTCCACAGGGAAGATCAGCATTTCTCTCCAGGTGCACTTTTCCTCCAGGTCAACCCTTCTTTTTCCTGTGGTTCCCCTGCAGAGCTATAAATCTCACAGCCCTGTCCACAGCTATGCCAGAKCAGTGCTCATAAGGAAACTTTCCAGCTGTTCTAAACAAACCTTGGAGTCAGACAAGGACAACCTCGTTCACCAAGACAGGTAATCAGGAATTTGGCTCCCTCACACTGCTACAGCACTAACAAAAGAGACCGAAGTATGAAACATTAGATACTGTTCAAAGAAGGTGCACCATTTACTTAGAACTGGATTATGCACATTGCGTTACTGCACAATTTTATGCCAGCAAATTTCAGCTARATTTAGCAAGCAAGAAAAACAGAAGGAATGTTTGGGTTTGAGAGCTTATAATGGAGGGTTTGTTTCAATTTCACCCATCAAGTGGCAGTACTTTCATTATGCATTACTAAATGCTAACTGCAAGGACAAGTTTGAAGGGTCAGTATCTGAAGACACAGTTCCTCCCAAAGACCTTGTAACAAGAAGTATGCAGTGACAGTGTAATAAAAGCCTTTATTTTCCAGTCTTAATATTATTAAGKCTTCTGTTGAAACTTTAGTCCTTTGGGTTTTATGGCTATTTTATCACCAGCCATCAAAACTGCATTAGTGACCCATCTACATATGATACAGGTCAAGGCTTCAGTCCAGTAAAACCTCTGTGACAGCCACATGATTTCACACTGGTTACAGCTCCCATTACCAAAAGGAGCAGGGTACAAGCTGTGTCTCACTCCAAGTTATTCCTCAGATGTCTCCTAGGACACTGTTATGCTCCTGGCTCATAGGAAACTTGCATGCAGACATTTGAGACCAGCAGCAGCTCTCCAGCCCTCCCGTAAGATAACGCCAGTGAATTATCATGCATGAGAACAGCAGGACAGGATGTACAGTGTGAGCTTACATAAGACACAAGGCACTGCTGGGAACCGGCACAAGTGAACAGCATAAATGGCTCAGGAAAATGCTGATGTCACTCGTGTACATTCGGGCTGCGCCGGCCAAGTTYCTCTGAACCCAGCACTGGCCTTTCTGGCTGCTTGTAAAACCTCACAGTCTGCCCTGCTATAGCCAGATCTTCAAAAGAAACTTATTTTCAAAAACCTGAGYTTCTTCCTAAGGASAGCTTTCTTTAAGATGAGCAAGAATCTAAAGAAAAACAGAACATGTAATGGAGAACTGGAAAAAGCATGTAATTGTGTACACAAACACTTGCTCCTAATAGTTAGTGAGAAAATAGCTCAAGCACAACTTACCCGTTTTAAAATATGACCTCTGCAAAGCTACTAAGGTCAATGAGACTTACAGTAGTTACTCAGTGAGCCCTGMTTGCATAAATTAAAGATGCCTAAGGGTAGCTATGAAACCGGGTATTTGATTTTTCCAGGGCACCTACATATTATGAATTAACAATGAATTGCCATTTTATCAAAGCAGCTTTCAGTTCATTAAAAAAATAACAAAAAAAAAAAAAAAACCCAAATCAAATTGTGTTGTGCTTACCTCCTCCTCAACACAAAAGCTTTCCCATTTAATGTTAAGCTGATTATGAAAGTTTCACATTAAACTGAGTAGGTAAGCGAGAAACTATAGATCAAATTACTTCCTAAATATCTCGAAGATRTGAGGCAAACAGCGCTTCTTCCTGGTATATCCTTCTACAATACATTTTAAAAAAYTGGAAAAAGAGATGAGTAATCTAGCTGCACAAGTTAGTATAAAGCAAAACTGTAAAGAGGGAAAACTTATTTCACTCAGGTCAGGATTTGGAGCAGCAACTCCCAGCTCTGTGCTTGGCTGCTTCCATCTGTTATTGCAGTGGCTGCACTTCAGAGCAGTGCGTGAACCATGACAGTCAACTCCTTCAGCTTCAGGACTTCTGTATTTAGGTTTTTGCCTATGAAATACTTAAAGTAATTTTCCACAGAGAGCATCCTATAAGGTGAGGGGGAAWATACTGCTCCTAAACTAAGTCTGCCTTTCATTACAGCTATAATAAAGTTATTGTAATCTCCATTCAGTATTTCCTTGCAAAAACACCATGTAGTTCAGAGAAGTCAACTATCAGAGATAATCTGCCACATTAGAAATTCACGAGGTTTCCTTAGCAGTGGAAGAGGACACCACACTAGCTTTGTCTTAGGCGAAGAGAAGGGAAAAAAAACCCATCCTTAAAAGTATTTGCAGTGTGGAAAGGCAGCTCTTTGAAAGTATATTAGTGCACACACTACATCAAAGTACAAAATGCAGAATGACCACAGTGTAAATCATGCAATATCACAGGTTATTAAATTTCTTTTTAAGCAAGCTCCAATTTCCATCGAAGTATGGCTACTACAGTTCACATCCTGCCTGGAGTCTCTCTGCTTCTATAGTAGAAATACCATTGCTATCTACCCATTATTACTACAGCAGATAAGCATTTCAAAGTCATTAGTGTGTTTATCCACAGGACATTTTTGGAAAGCACCGCTATTCCCGATTCATAAGCAAACAGAGGACTGACTGGTGAAAGACAGAAAGACAAATCCAAGGTCACAGAGTAAGTCTGCRGTAAAGTAAGAAACTTCACCTGGTTTTGCCTTCCTGCAACTAATACTTTCTATTAATGAGTCACTGCTGCTACTCTAAATTATTCTTTCAGCAGGGAGAGACAACAGACTGCCTGTGGCATTCAAACTCTACATGCTAACAGCAGCTCTGCTCCAGGGTTTGCTAAAGAGGAAAAAAAAAAAAATCACACCCAAGGGCCTTGTTCTGTACTGTCACAGAATCCTGCTTGTGCACTGGGCTGCTGTGGGGGGAAAAAGGAATATACATATATATATTATTAGATAGCCYGTCTCATTTGTGATCCAGCTCTTTCCCTAGTGAAACAAAACCCAGTCCTTGAATAGTTTTACTCCCTCACACCACAGACCACCGGCAAGGGCAAAGTGCAGGGAGGAAGGGACAGTCAACTGGGAGACAAGTTATGCAAAGCTGGGGGCCGGGGTGGGGGACAAAGCTTCCCTAAGGCCCATAGGGAAAAAGAAAAAAAAAAAAAAAGAAAAAAAACCCAACTTCTGTTGGCAGGTCACGGGGGTCAGAATGCCGAGGGCACAGCCCCGGGGGCTCCGCGGGGGAAGGACCCTCAGCACGGGGGCGACACCGGGAGGGTGCGGAGCTCCCGTCCCACCCCGCACAGCGCAGGGAGCCCCTTCCCAGCTCCCGCACCGCCGGGGATGACCGGCCGCGACCCCTCACGCAGGGTCCCTTCACGGGCGCTTCCCGACCCAGCCCCGGCCCCCTCCCCGCCGCCTGTCCCCCGCCCCACGCCCGGCCCCGGAGCGCCGCTCACTCCCGTACCTGTGCGGGGAGGCGGCGGGGACCGAGGGGCTGCCTCGCCCTGGTGGCGGGTCCCGCGGAGCCTCCCGGAGCAGCCGTGCYSCCGCTGCCGCCGCCGCGGCCCCGCCGCGCTCGCTGCCCTCGCCTCCAGTTTGACCTTTCCGTGTCTCCGCCGCCCGTCCCCGGCACCCTCTGACGTCACCGCCATGGCAACCAAGCCCCGCCCCCTCCCGGCCCCGCCCACCGACCCCGCGGGGCGCGCGCATGCGCGGCTGTGGGGCGGGGCCGCGCGCCCCTCGCGGCTAATGAGCGCGCGCCGGGGGCGGCCTTGCCCCGCCCCCTCCCGGAGTCACCCACCGGGCACAGAACCGACAGTAAATATGTAATATTGATGGCATGTGTAATTTATTTATATTATATTTATGTGTGTGTTTATGCGCGTGCATGTGTGTGTACACATAGATAGATGGATATCTATACACATGGGTATGTATATATATATATATATATATATATATGTCTGTTCCTTTTTGCACCCACAGCAGCCCGGTGCTGAAGCAGGATTCTGTGACAGTACAGAACAAGGCCCTTGGGGGTGTTTTTTTCTTTTTAGCAAGGCTGCTGTCGGGTGTAGGGTCTGAATAGGCGGGGCAGTCTGGTGTCTCTGGACACGTGTGAGATGTGGGAGCTCTTGCACTCAGTCCYTCATGGAGCGAGGCCTTCCCTCCTCTCTGTGGGGAGAGAGGCAGTGTGGGGGTCCTGGGTAATGGCAAGGTGAACAGGAGTGCCCTGGCAGCCACGAGGGACAACCCTGTCCTGGGGGACATCAGGCACAGCATCACCATCCGCCAGGGCAAGGGAGGGGATTGTCCCGCTCTGCTCTGCTCTGGGCTGGGGTGGCCTCATGTTGATTCCTGGGGGCAGGTTTGGTGACACGAAATTAAGACATTAAGCCTTTAGAAAGCATCCAAAGAAGAGCCGTGGGGGTGGTGAAGGGTCTGGGAGGGAAGCYATAGGAGATGTGGCTGAGTCACTTGCTGTGTTCAGCCTGGAGAAAACTGAGGGGAGACCTCCTTGTGGTCTGCAGCTTTCTCACAAGGAGCAGCACTGATCTCTCCTCTCTGGTGACGAGTAATGGGACACAAGGGGATGGCCTGGAGTTGTGTCAGTGAGGGTTTAGGTTGGATATTAGGAAAAGGTTCTTCACCYAGAGGGTGGTTGGGCACCAGAACAGGCTCCCCAAGGAAGTGGTCACAGTGCCAAGCCTGACAGAGCTCAGGAAGGGTTTGGACAACACTCTCAGGCACATGGTGTGACTCTTGGAGATCGTGCTGTGCAGGGCCAGGAATTGGACTCAATGATCCTTGGTGGTCCCTTCCAGCTCAGGATGTTCCCTTTGATTCTATCTGTTCTGTTCCGTGAATTTAAAAGCTGCCTTTTCTATGCACACATTGACATGAGCCCAGCTTGTGCTGTCACAGTTTGCCTGCTCYTTTCCATCCCCAGTGTTCTTCCATATCCCATGGCACTTGAGCATTCCCCGAGGATCAAACTGCTTCTCCAGTCCCACAACTTACAGCACGTTCCCATTGTTTAGAGAGCATATGGGTAATTGCTTTTTTCTTTTCCCAAAATACTTGGCATAGATATCATATATGTAATATGTATAACATATGGAAGGCTGCATATTTCAATGGCTCAGTGCACAATGTGTGCATAAATGTTTTATGTGTAAATGCTTCGCTTCAGACACTTGTCAGCTGTGAGCACATGCAGCTTGCAACACGTGTAATGTCAGTGTTTTTGACTCTGGGTTTGTACCTTGCCTTATGAAAGGTGGGTGCATTATCAACATGTTACATATTGCAGGCTTTAAGTCAAGATAAGTACACAGACATGATATTTAAATATGCTATCAATTAGCAATTACACTGTCTTTCATGTCTCCGACATGTAGAACACACTGCATACCTTATGTGTGCCACTTGCTGTCATTTTTGGARCTATGACAAATTTTAAATTATTTTAATCAGAATAATAATTCGGAAACACAATCCAATATTCATCAAAAATACAAGCTGAGATGTGTTCAACAAACCTTTCCTGAAGGYAGATAGAAGGGCATGGATGCAGTTTTCCTGCCTTTGACATGCASAATACCTTTCTTCCAGAGTGCTGGCAAACCAGTTTAAATCCTATCATGGCGAGACCAGGAACTGCAGTGTGAATTCATGCATAGCCTGGGTTCTTGCTCATTTGAAGGCAGACTTTTAATAAGGAAATAATTTTAAAGAGACTTGTTTAGCTATCACTGAATTTGTGGCACAGCTTATTTCTTATCAGCCCAAGTAGATTTAATGTTGTTTCACTGACTGATAATGCCACGCTCGTGGTTTCAATACCTGTACAGGCCATTCACGTAAGAGCTGGACTCAATGATATTTGTGGGTCCCTTCCAAATCCAAATATTCTGTGATTCTGTGAAAACASTGCAACTGGATGGGATTCAGAGCAGGAGTGTTTGGGTGGAAGGCAACTCTTGAATGCTGACCTGCTCATGAGGGTGACACCACCTGTCCTGGGAGGATGTGTGTGGATCTTCTGGCTTTGCACAGCAGTCCTGCTAGGTGACAGCTCTGTTGGAATTTACTTTTTCATGGGTTCCTTTAATTCCAGTGTCCAAGCCATGAGCCTGACTGTGGCCAGCACACAGGACTGTGAAGGGGATRGCTTTGGCCAGTCAGCAGCAGCCAGGAGTGACCTTATTCTAAGGTACCAGACAACCATCTGGGCTGGATGTAACCATCAGCCAGGATAAACTGCATATCAAGACACCAGGACTTGGACCTTCATGTTTGTAACTCTGAAAAAGTGCAGTGTCTATGTTACCAACCCCCCAAAAAAYGTTGTTGAGTCAAATCAGGMGKARGACTCTGAAAAGCACACTCTTAGGMAGGKCATAAATAAATGGGCCAGYAGGGTTATATCAGTATGACCTCAGTGTGTCTGCAGGGAAGTTGTTTCCTCTCTGCACATCTCCTGCTGCTCCCCACTTTAATGAGGAGACCCCTTTCTTTTTTTCTAAGGGATCCAGCGGTCTGGTCAGTGTTGGTGGGGGACATAAATATAGTCCTCAGCATGAGCAAATTCAAACCAAATACATTTGTTTGGCATTTTCATCCATGAAATATTAAAAAAAGCCAAGATAAGCCCATAATAATTAATTGGACGTGACGAAAGGAGATGGCGCAACAATGTAGGTGAGGGAGGAGATGGAGAAATCAGTCCTGAGGGAAGATCTGGCACCCACAAAGCATGAGAGAGCCAGAGCTCATCGGTTCAAAAATAATCTTCCAGAAAGGGAGGGGACAAAAAAAACAACCCACCACCGTCTCTCATTCTTGCACAGACAATGCCAGACTCCTGCACCTGATTTCCATGAGAAAGGCCACTTCTGGCATTGACATTCTGCTGCATCCAGCCCCTGCYACAGACCTCCTCCTCAATGCAAAGCTGAAAGAGGAGGGGAGGAATAAACTCTGCTTTCCAAAAGGGCTGGAGCTGCCAAAGAGGCCCATGGAAAGCCAATTGTGCAATGAGGGAAAACAGGGAGGGAGGATCCCTGCTCATAGACACAGTAAAATGCCTGTCGAAAGTAAGTGGGAGAAGGGCTAAGAGGCATTTTGGTGCATTTATACAGATGTCGAGTGAGCAGCGGTTTAAACGAAGTTGTTGACGAGGACACTGATGTGGGGTTGATTTTGAATGCTGAAGCGATGCACTCAAGCCTTCCCTTCATATGCATAATATCCATAAGTGCTGCTGATTTCAAATCCCAGCTCAAACAGAGGTTTTATGAGCACTTCTCATTTGTAGATCTCGGAGAGCTTTACAAAGACAGAGCTATAAATAAGATGGATGGGAAAGTGAGGAGTTGAGAGGGGCTTTTAAAGGGCAATGGATTGTTTCTTTAAGGGTTTCTGTGGATAAGAACTAGATAAGAACTGTCATTTTACTGAATATAAAATATTTTGCAGTAGCACACTGAGTCCAATTACTTGTGTATTGTGTATTTATGTTGTTAAGGCAAAGTTTTGTCATGCTTTGTCCAAATTGTCTCTAGCTAAGCTTTTGGAAAGTACGAAAAGAGAAACACTTAATGTTAGATTTTAACATTGTATATGGATGTTTTAGGCACTTTTAAATTGAACAGATCAAAGCCTTTTATTCYTAAATGCCAGAAATCCAGTGATATTTGTGTAACTATGTAATTTGGCCTGTCTGTTTTACATGTTCCCAAAGGTTTATTACAGGCAGCTTTCAAATTAAGTGGGCTGGAACATTTGATGCTCTCTTCCCTGTTTTCAAAGCCTGTGCAGAGCCCACAGTGTGAGTGACACTGCTGTTAAAAGGGGAAGCATTTTGGTTTTATCACGAGGTACACARAGAGGGAAAGGAGAACACCTTGGTCCTGATTCCAGTTCTGTGCACCATTTAATTTCTGCCTTCTTCAACTTTCTCCTCCACAGAGCTGGGTACAATAGCTCCTTATTCTCCAAAGTGGTACRAAGCTTAATTAACCTTGAGAAAAGCAATGGGTAAATTGCCAGCAAAAGGGAGAGAGTGGGGAAAACCCCAGCCCTTTAGGATCTCTGTATTCGTACTCACCTGTGTGGGACCATTTTACCACTGATRTTCCACTGCGCCACAAACTTGGCARTTTTGGGAAAGCCTTAAACACTTKCACTGCATTTGAAATAACATTATTATATAACCAGGAAGCAGCCACAAGACTGATGGCTCAGCAATGTTTTATGCAGCAGTCTTTTCACCCAAGGGTGACCTTGTAACTGAATAATCAAAGCCATATTCTGCTCACAATTACACCTGTGCTGCCACTGTTTACATTGCAATAGCACCTGAAGGTCCCATTGTATAAGGCACAGTAAACCTGTAGCTGTTTAGAAGAACCTGGAAGTAGGAGGGGAAGCAGTAACAGAAGCAAATTATTTGTCTCAAGGTCATGTATCAGAAAAGTAGCTGTGGCAGGAGAAAAAATCAGGTCTCCCAAGTACTATGCCCCATGAACAAGAGCTTTAAAGAATAAAAAGACATATTTACTTCTGGAAATATAACTATAAAATGCTGGAARATAACCRTGTTTGCAG